GGAAGACACAGTTTAACTATTTTCCAGTGGTAACAACAGGTCTAATAAAAGGTGATTTCTTTCTCTTCAAACGCAGCCTTTTCTTTCCCAGCACAGCCAAGATGGCCTTCTGCTAGCGGGAAATCTGCCGCTGCCCCTTCTCCCTGACACACACAGCTGTGCGGGTCACCTTGCTTCAGGCAGGCAGGCAGACTGAGATTTGCCTTTTCTTTTGGACATGGTTAAACCATGCTCTCCTCCCATCCTCAAATGAATTAGCCCCTGTGCCAATTCAAGTTCTATGACCCAAAGAGTAAATTCCATTTGCTGATGGAATAAAGAGAAGAGCAGATTAAAAGAAAAAATAACCATCAATTCTTACAGTCAGAGAAGAGATTTCACTACAGGAGACAGGCATTTAACTCTGTTTGCCCTAACACTGCACAGAAACCTATTTTTACCAGCACAAAGTGCTTGACTGGCTCTCCAGATAGAATTTTAATGTGAAATCACAATTTAAATTTCACTCTTTTCACACCATTAAGGATTTTGTAATAAGAGATCATTTCAATGAAAAAAACCACCATATTTTTCTTTTTTTCAAATCAGTTTGGTGATGTGATCAGCTCTAAAATACCAGCTAGCGATTGTGACCAATATCCCTTGACTACCAAACACCAAAGAAGTCAGTCCCAATCTAAACAAACGTGAGGTTATTTTTAGAAGTAGGAAAGCAGATGGGAGTTTCAGTTGCTTGCGAGCACACATGCCCACCATTCAGCCTTTATGAATGGCTCCTTACAGATGGAGAAAGAATTAAAGAATCTGCTTCCACTCTTCTCTTTTTAGCAACATCACGTCATTCATTGCAGGGTAACTACCCCACTAATATCCCAGACAACCTAAAGGTCCTCCCAGGAAAAAAGCTTCTCTCCTTGAGCTCTGTGGTTGAGCACAGAAACAAAAATTTTATTTGTTTGGGTCAAAGGAAATTACCTTTTCACTCTTAATCCTTATTTCTCCTAATAGGTCTCCTCTCCCCACAAAGAAATTTAGCTAAATTCCGGCCAAGGCATTGGGCTCACAGTAAACACAAAGGTCAAAAAATTAAAATAAATTTTCATAGATAAACCAGCCTTTTCTAAACTGTACTCAAACATGTAAATGTTTTGCAATGCTGAGAAGCTACAGTGCTTAAAGCACAGATCAGATCTCTCAGCGAAGGAATCTCCATTGGATACTGCATCTTCTTTAGACTTTTTTTTTTAAGTGACCATTTGTTTAGAAATAAGCTGTTATAAAAACCAGGGGAGAGAGGGGAAGAAAAAATTGATCTTACAAGGTCTATTATAAACTTGACATATTCTAGAACATTGAAATAATTCCCTAACACTTTGCCAAAGTTTGGTATTGTGCATGGAAAGAAATACTAGTAACCATTACTCATAAACTCAAGCTCATTGTTGCACCCACGGCCTGAGTTTTGATCAGAATTAAAGCTTCATATTTTATACGTACATTTTCATCTAACAGTTTTATGCCCATAAAGAACTGTCTTGTTCTAGGGAAGATAAATCCTAGATATTTTCATCTATGAGCTCTCAATAATAAACCAAAAATATTTACCCAAGGGATAAAAGAGTAAAATAAGAGTTAATTTGGCACTGGCAAATAATGTTGTTATTTCAATAATCCTGCCTGAAAATCTCTTCTTCAGGATGGAAGGGATTGGAAATATTTTAGAAGGAGTATTCCATATGTCAGAGTTCCTGTGATACAAATTAGCGGTTCGAAGTCAGCAGTTTTAAGAAAGACATCAGTTTATCTCTGTTATTGCACGTGTGAAACCAAAATAAAAAATCTCCCTGCCTATCTACAGACATATTTACATTGGAATTAGGGCTGATGGGCTCCCACTGTTCCTTGAGTAAGAGCAACTAAAAATATTGTGAATCTTATTTTCCTTTTCATTAGCACTGAAGACAAGTAAAACAATAAGAAAAATGTATTTCCAAGATACAGCAACAAAACCAGCCAAGTACTCCTCAGACATAACCAGCTGTCCTTGGGCACCTACTCTACCCACTAACCCACCCACCAACTCAACCTGCAGCATTAACTGGAATCGGCAGCTGCCTCCACCATTACTGAGGAGAGCGCGATGTGGCTCAGAAGAGAGAAATGAGGCAAATAGCGTTGCCATTTTCTGGATCTCCATTGGTTTAGTTTTCAAAACTGATAAACAGAAGGCTTGAGGACTAAGATGGCATTTGATGACTTACTGTTCTTTCTGCTACGCAGAAAAGAAGGGGCCTCTAGATAAAAGTCATGTCTAGAAGCAATTAAACCTTAGTGGATGCTTTGTTCAATTATGAGTAACTAGAGCAGTCAATGTACTGTGGTTAATAGCTACCAGAAACATAGATCATGGTTCATGACAAAGTCCTTGTCATAGGGCCACCTCAAAGAGCACAACAAACTGTGACCAAGCCACCACTCAGCCTCACAAGACAGTGAGGCTCCTTTCCATCTGCGTCAGATGAATTCATATTGCAGCTTTACACACAGCCTTCAAATAGCCATAGATAACCAGAACTCTGTCAAAAACAATTTGATTGCATTACAGGATAGTGATGACACTATCGGATGAAGCACGGGAATCAACAATTGTCTTAACACCTGGGAGTCTCATGTTGGAATAAGTGAATAAACCTAGGCACGAGAATTACTTCCATTTCATGCCCATGGCACAATTACCTTTCAGCTATTCAAGACTTCGGTCCTGACCCTTTTCCCAACCTGAATCCAAGCAATGCAAAAAAATCAGTGTAAAGGTGCTGCCTGTATCAGTTAGGTAGTCGCTATTATCAAATATAAAGTGATTAAACTCAGGGCTCAGTAACTCACTAGAGCTAAGGGACAACTGCTCACATGAACAAAGCAGAATCACCTTCTTCTGACAGCGGGTGCAAAGGTGAGGAGTGCTGGTCCTACTGTTGATCGAACACAAATGCTTTCTGGTACATTTAGCTTTTGTATTCCACAGAGGCCCGTCAACCTCTGAACACCAATGGCAAAATCCTGGTCCCTCAAAACTTTCAGCTAGATGCCCTAGTACACAATAGTGGCCCTTTGCATGCAAAAGGCTAAAATTCATGGCAGTTTTCTTTCACCGGTGTTGGTGTACACAGAACAGCCGTATGACTATAACTCTGCAAATGATACTTGACCTTGTGTTTCTATACAGCAGCTGTAGTCACAAATGTGGGAAGACTGACATGGAAAAACATTGAATTTCTCTGTCTAAATACAGAACACTTGCTGCACAGCTGCCTCTAGCCCACAGTTTGCATTTCACCCTCCAACATTAAAAGAAACCCCAACACCTCTGATATGCACTGCACTGCCAGCTCTTCCTTTTGTCTGGCAAGGCTAAGCAACACTGGAGCTCGATAGCGGGTCATTGTCTGCAACTGACACGTTGCCAGAAAACGTGCACAGCAACAAGCAAAAGAAAAGAGAGGGAACCTTGCTCCATGCCTGCTCCACGCCTCACGACACACAGGATCTGTGATATGAAGGCTGAAAGAGAATTCCCCAGTGAAGGTGCTGTTATAGAGATCTCTGCTCACGCAAGTCATGCAAGAATCCGGTGATAAGACACAGGTAAGGTTGCAATACACATTACTGTGGCCATACAAGCATAGGCTTGTACCGAGCACAGAGAAGGCTACTCTATATATACACACTACAAATACCAAGAACATTTGCTTTTGTTCCAAATGGGTGGCAGGCTCAGCAGAGGACCCCTCCATCCCCATGGGCAGAGTCACAAGAGATCAGCTCCAGGAAAAGGCTCTAAACAAGGAAAGGTCAAACTCACTGTCACAAGCAACAAAGGAGCAGTGATATTTTAAGCGTCCTAAATATACAGGCTTGCAGGTGGGAGCTAAAAAGGCTTAACATCCCACCTGAGATTCTGACCCAGGGCTGCCCTGGTGTAATTACAGGTCAAGGTTTCCTAGCTGTTGTGACCCTGATGTAGGCCAGCTGCAGGATTTCTCCTATGGTGGCAGTAACTGACAGCGCTGGTAAATGTGGTGAGAAAGCAGCATGTGCTGCGCAGAGCTCCTTTTCAATAATTAAGTACTTTGACTCTTCAACAAAGAACGAAAGAACCAAACAACACAAAACACTAAACAGCACACAGTATTCTTACTAAAGCATGAACATCTAAACAGTTTTCTACTTAGAGCTTTTTTTTTTTAAAGCAATTAAAGCCTCTTTATATGTGACACAATAATTTTGGATCACCCTGTATATCAAGTAGTTCAGTTAACGCCCATCTTCATGACACTTATTTTTACAAGTCACAAACTTCTATAAATCCATACTATATATCTCCCAAATCCAATTTTTGGCAAAAAATTCTTGGCTTCTTATGAGATGCAATTTCTAATCATTCAGGTCCAGGATATTAAAAAACAACAACAAAAAAACCCGTTACATTGCATACAAGGTTAATCTTGATTATGGTAACTTTATCAATGCTGCTATTGTTTCACCAGAGGCAAAAAGGCATTGCAGGTATGCAGCTCACAAAAACTGTTTTACTCTCTCAGTTCGCAAGTCAGATGACGTGCCAGCTGCAGAAGGCACATACACTGCCATGCGCTGGGAACTACCCCTTACTATGGGCACATACACATACACTGGGAATATTTTGATCGCAGTTAAAAAGAATTTGAGCACACATAAACTCCACTCAAAGACAACACTTAAGCACCAGCTTGTTGAACAAGGACGGGATTATCAAGATTAACATGTTTTTAAGATACATCTGTTTGCATATATTTGAGTTTACTGCACCATATTGCAGGTTCTCACAGATTTGTGAATATCCAAAGAACTCAAATAGTAACCATCAGGGGAGTTCATAATACTAGAATATACACACACACACATATATATATATATATATCTCATCACCTAAGAGATTTCTGAACTGTCTGAGCACTCACCAGTTCCAAACACTGCCGGTGCCCATACGCAGCAGCGTAATGTACAGTGTTGTACCCCTCTTTGTCTTGGATGGATGGATTGGCATCGTTTTGTAGAAGGAACTCTAGACACCTGTGGACAATTCACTCATTTAAATGAGAGCTTACAGTATTTAACAGACTCATCCCTCACTGCAACTAGGAGTGACATGGAAAACTGGCAGTTAATTCTGTATTTCTAGCAGCACCTCAAATCACTTACAATTTTCCCCATTTTCACCAATAGCTCCCCACATTCACCATTTTTTAAAACAAAATACCCACTGATCTTTGAAGATCTTCATAAAAACCAATCTTCAACCCAACCTTTGTGGCTACTCTAAATTACAAAATGATTTTCTATTATGAAGCCTGAAAGAAAACTACACAACTCTGTACCATGATGTAAACAGCCTAGATTTGCTACTACTGTACGTAAAAACCTAGATCAAACGATTGGCCTCCAAACACGCGCTATGGCAAGCTGAAAGATAAAGACGTAACTGAGTTAATTTCCTGGCGTATACATACATAAATATATTTTCTTGTTTGTTGGCTTTTTTAAAAAAAAAAAAAAACCCACACATTTTTCAAAGGATCCCTTATGCTATTTATAGGTCCCTGCCACTTTTTCTTATACCATCAAGAAATCATCATTTTGTTACTATTACTTTCTTCCATAGCTTGTAATTTGTAGTGAATGTAAGGCTGTCATACGAAAAAGGGGATTTTAAAACAAAAAAAAAATCATTAAGCAGCTAGATGAAAATGTTAATCAGAGTAAATACATTGAGGTTGTTAATCCAAGTAAATACATTGAGGAAGCCATTGGCTACTTCTTTTTGTAACATACATATTCAGTGCAAAGCATTAAAACAAGTCAGTGCATGATACTAAAGAATTATTAAACTACTGAAGCAGTACATTTTCAATTAAGAAACAGCAACAAGCACAGAAACAGAAATATTAGGGAATACGCGCACAGAGAAGAGCATAGAGCTTTTTTTCGTTAGGTGAGCCCTCATTAAAGCCAAGCATTGTGTTTAGCAGAGCAATGAACGAGCAAAAGCAGAGTGTAAACTGCAGCCCAAAGCAGTGGCATTCTCCAGAAATGGAGTCTAACTGCTTTATTGACACCAAACTTACAATGCAGCTTCTTTTTCCTTCATCTCACTGGCTCTTTCAAGTTCTTCAGCATTTTCATGGGAGTTACCTAAAATATTCTTTCTTCTTAGCAACAGAGGACAGAAAAATGCAACTTATTTTCAAAATATCATACCAGTGATTTTGACGCAGTCTGCCACCCATCCCCAATCTCCTCTTCAAGGAGCTGACCTCCTTCAGCCAACAATAAGAATTATACAAGTTAAATGAGTGTTCTGCATGGGTCTGCAGCTAATAAGTTTTGCAAGCTATGGAGACAACTATAACGTGGTAGTTCATTGTCCTACAAGTCAATGCCAGGAAAAAGAAACAAAACAAAAAAACAAAACAAAACAAACAAAAAACAAACAAAAAAAAACAAACAGAAAATTGTGGATTCTATCAGAAACAGTTTGATCATCACTTTCTGGAATCCCTCCGTTTCTCCCACAGCAATGCTGTGCATTTTGCTTCCTTTGCAGAGAGGAACTCAGGATTACCACAGCTTGCTTCTTCCTACAGCAACCTGCTAGATCTTCTCCAGGATTTAGGATTTAGAGAAACTTCAATCACTGATACTAAATTGGTCTATCTTGAATCTGCACTAGCTGTGTCGCTGACTCTCCTCACTTTCTGGGAAATATCTTGGCAACACTGTGTGGACCTCTTGGTCAGATTCTTTAGGTTCTTCAGAGAGCTCAACATGTCTTCATATTCCTGCACACCTGGATCATTTTTGGCTAACATTTACAAACTGCTATCATCATGGATTAGTAGCTTGAAAGGTTTGTAGAAGGACAGTAGCTAATTTCAATCCCAATATAAAAAGCAAATTCCAGACTGGATTCTGCACAATGCAGAACAGTATATTCTTTCTTTAATATGCAATTTCCGATATTTAATATCAAGATTTGACATTCTTCTTGTGGATGCTAGCAATAATGGGTTGTTCTACAAGCCCAGGGTCTGTCTGATGTCCGCTGACTCACAGAAAACTTTGTTATTAATAAAATAAGTCCCCTGAATATTAACATTGTAAGCTCATAGACAGTACTCATGTACTATGCTGAAGTCCTACCTGTATCTGCTTGCGGTTAACTACAAATCAGTGAGATCCCACAATAAGATTCCCTGAACAGAATAAGCGATGATCTGGAGAAACAGTACATACTCAGAAGCTGCGATCATTTATTCAATGAAAATGCTGTTGTGATTTCCATTGCAGGAAAGGGTACTTTCCGAAGACCATAAGCAACAACAATTACCAAAACAGCTGAAGCAGTAGGGCAGCCTCACTGCACCAAGACTTCTCCCTGCTCATTAACTGCCCACATCCAAAATTAAATAATTATTAATATTCTTTGGACTGAGATTGCCTGACCTTGGGAGTTTTTTTGCTATTTAGCAGGAAAAAAAAATACGCTGACCTATAAAATCACAGACTGCAAACAGCATTTCATCTATGTAACAAGGCTTCTTCCAGAACATCTCAAACTGGAAAATTTAATGAGAAGACAGCATCACCACATCAGAATCAATTTAGGTTTGGACTATGAGGGCAAATAAAGGTCACATATTCCTGCCAATCTTCAGGATGTGACTAAAGTAAGCCTGATTTTTTTTTTTTTTTAATTAATGACGGAAGTAGATACATCCTGAAGTTAACCAAGAGCTTGTTTAAATGCAGGAACTTCACCTATAAAGAGCCAGAAGGTGAAAAACACACATGGAATCAAAAGCCTCAACACCTCGAATAACAACTCACCCTGGGAAGACAGAATTAGAAACAGCCAGTGGTGAAAGCCTTCCTACAAGCCTACTCTGATTGTAATGCCAAGCACAGACCTGAAGATCCTGCTGCCTTCTTCCCAGCACTGTTCAGCCTTGAGGGTGATAGGGAAGACATTTTTCATATCGGTATTATCACAGCAAATGATGAAGCAGCTACCAAGGCTCTGGAATGGCATCCAAACCTCTACCATAAAGTTATGCTGAAGTTTTCCTGCAGTGGCTTTGAGGTGGTATTCTTCTGGGAATGAGGCAGATGTATTTTTATCAGACCTCACTATATGAGAAACCAAGAAAATAGTTCCTTAGTGTCTAAAGGAATGAGACACAGAAGCAGGGGATGACCTAAAATAAATACAGGTCGCTAACAGTTTTTAGAGGGAACTAACAGGATAATAGAGCCTGTTTTATACAGTATATTATGAGGAAGAGATTGCCAAAATATGCAGCTATCTGGGAATTAGAAATTGCAGTCACTAACCACAGGATTTCTAAGCTTTGGAGCTGTTTTCCCCCTTTCTCACAAGAACAGCACTGCATTCTGTCAAAGGATATTCCCCAGGCTTCTGTCTTTTAAAAGTCTCTAAAAAGCAACCTGTTTGGACAGGGCGAGCATTTTTATCATCTCAGACAGTGGAGAGAGACTGACCGGTAGATCTATCCCATCTTTTCCAGAAAGTCTGTCAGAATGGCCAGATGTTTGTCTGTCACAGCAGTCCATCTGGGAAAACCTCTCCTGCTGTCTCTTGTTCCATCCCTTCTGATGGACTTGCAAAGCAGATGTAGAAAATTCTCTGAGCTTACTCTTGTGAGGAAACCGCACAGAGGAAAGCATACGACAAAATGTTGTGAAAACAGTTCAGTAGGACAGGGTGGCTGCAAAACTGTGCGTTACATCAAAGGTAAACCGTAGAGCTGAAATGACACATCATCTGGGGATTTGGCTTATAGTCAGAGCAACTCAGTGTGGAGTTATGCATACATCTGAGAGAAATTCCTTTGCTAGCGGGATCATGTTTTTGGCTCAAATGACATAGCATCATGAGGAGAATAGAATGACACTGATTTAGCAGAACACTTTAAACAAGGAATACAAAGAAGCTTTCTTACTTTCGGTCCATGTCAGAAGCAGCAGCATAGTGCAAAGGGGTGCGTCCCCAGTCATCTGTTTCATTAACATTGGCTCCTGTTGTCACCAGTGTCTCAATACAGTGGAAATGACAATTTGCAGCTGCATAGTGCAAAGGTGTTCTGGAACATAAGTGACAATTTGTTACCTCATATTCCAATATGCACCACCGAAGATAACAACAAATCTTAATTGCTGCATTCCTACAGATTTCCAGCAGTCAATATCAGTGCCTTATGTTCTTGTGATGAAATGCAAAGTTATGCAAATTTAACAAAATATCGTGTTAATAGGAATTTTTGGTGCTCCTACGAAGCCTAATAGGATACAGATCCTCAATCTGTGTCTTGCAAACAACCTATTCCCAGTGACAGCCACTGCTGTTGCTCTGCATACTTTCTTCCAGTTGGGAGGCAGAGCAAAGCACGGTATCCCTCACAGCATCTTATTTAGCTGGCATAGCAACACTCAAAGCAACACTTCATATGGGGGAAAAAAACCTCTAGGAAGCATGTCAAATAGCAGCAATCCTCCCATCATAACCCAGGTGCTGTCTTGGGCAGACAAGCACAAGAATTTAAGCAATAAGAGAAGCAATAAGGAAAAAAAAATAAACCTGTGATATTTTTAAAATAGAAAACTCAAGAGGGTGGGATGGCTTTTGTGTCTTTAATGAAGTCTGCACCTGTCTGTCTGGCATATAACTGCAGCAACAAGAGTTCTGCAGGGAAGGACAAACTCCTACTTTATTTTACTGTCATTTTTCATAGAACATATGATTTCCAGACAGACGTGGTCTTTCTTCCTTGCCTGTTAGATTCTCTTTTCTTTTTCTTTTTTAAATGAGCTTCATAATTTACCTACCTCCCACATTTGTCCTTCTTATTAAAATCTGCTCCACTGCTTTGCAAGAGTTTTATACATTCAACATTACTGGAAAGAGAAGTAAAGAAAGCAAAACATGAACAAAACAGAAGTTTACATCTGTGTCGCCCCCTGCTCCCAAAAAGGAAAAAGTTACTCTAACAATTTTTGTATTATTTGCCGTGCAAAAACAGGGTACAGCCAACTACAACATGAAATTCAATCGAACAGAAAATGAAGCTTTAAAAAACTATTTCCTTTTTTTCTAGAAAACCTCAAACTTCTCTTCTGCAGAAGAAAAAAAAAAATTTCCAAAGACAGCAGAGTAAATGTGATGTGAATTCAGTGTGTTTGGAGATTTTCAATGGGAGCTGTACTCTAATGCTTCCCACACGGAACTGGTATTTTATAAGAGAACTTTAAAAGAAAGTTGTTGCTAGCTTATAAAATGCCAGTCTAATAATGAAGAGGTGACATTTAACGAAATCCACCCCCGTTCAGCAAAGCATTCAACAGTAAGCACTTTGCTCAAATCCTATTTACTTAGTGAGATTTAATCACAGGAGTTACTTCTAGGTTTATTCTCATATGATTTGTTGACTATTGATAGATTTAAGCACATCTCTAAGTGCTTTGTTGAATAAGGGGCACAGCTATTTAAAGTGATTGTCGTATCAATATTGCATTTATATAAGGGGATGAGCAGGGCTCCATTGCTTTTTATCTGTTGAAAGAATTCACCACATCATAGCTGCTTCTTCACCTTGTTTAAAGCCAGGTGATTTTTAATAGAAAATAAAACAGCTGAATTCTCACATCTTTTGTAATTCAAGAGAAATGTATGACTCCAAGCCAGAAAATGACTTAAAGAAGTACAGCACTTTCCAAGACTCCTTGTCATTCACAGGGGCAATAAATCATTTGTGTTCACAATCAGATGAGCAGGCCTTTGAAGTATGTTATTTTTCTAGTACCCATGCAACTAATGGGAGTAAGAGGCATGTCTCAGGAAAAAAAAAACTAATGCCTTTTGTATAGCTCCAGGGGAAAAAAAAAAAAAAAAAGACTGGATGCAATATGTTGGCGTATGTTCATCCCTACTCTAAATTGCTATTGCATAAAATAGCTACATAACACTCGCCACAACGTACTAAAAATAAAAACACTTGTTAGTGATGACAATTGTAGTAAACCACTGGAAAAATATGGTTTGTTTTCATGAGCCACTTTCGCTTCTTAAGCCTCTCCTTCTCTTTAGGCCTTCCAGGTTGTTTTTATTATTCTTTTGGGGTGCAGCCTTATCAAAGAGGTAGCATTTGACCTATACTATAATAATCTCCATCCAAGCAACAGTCATACCTCCTCTATTAATATGAGACAAATATCAAGAAGAATAATATCATAAGAATAATAAAACACTATCTAGATCAATTTTATTAGTTTTTTGTAATAACAAATACTTTATGATACACATTTTGGTCCACCGAGAAGAAAAAACAACTTCCAGAAAGAGTGCCAAGTATTCACTGTGGATGACCATTTCTGCTTGCTTATAGAGAATCCAAACTGGGTTCTAGCCAAGGCTCCATTTCAGCTGTTTTCTGAGCCATAAAGTCCTCAACAGAAGAGTCAAAATCCAATGCTTGCCAAATGTTTTGTCCTTTTGCTAGGTTAACTTCACAGCACTTCACTGACAATTATTTGGAAGTATTTAAACTAACTGGATGCTACATTTACAACTCAAACTGACGAACTTCAGTATTCTTTTGTTTCCATTTCTGACCTCCCAGCACATATCAGGAATGCACCACCCTGAGAGAACAACAGTCTTTTGACTTTCTAATTTGGAGGTTGGGGGTTGTTTGTTTGTTTTGGGTTTGTTTATTTGTTGTTGTTTTGGTTTGTTCTTTTTTCTTTTAGGAACTTCCAAACTTGCACCTGAAAAATGGGAAAGAGGGAGATGAACTGCATTTGGACTCCAGGGTTGCAATCTGATGGGCACTGTTGCATAGTTGCATTTTTGGACAAGGACACAGTCCAAAGGTGGAGGCCAGGAAGAACTCCCCCGCCAGCAGCATCCCAGGAGCCACAGCTC